AACCGGTATTGTATCATCTTAATGAAAAGGACTGCTACATGTATATTGTAGAGTTTTATGTCATCTATTGCTGAATGCTATTTGACCTTGTAATTATTATGTCAACAACTAACTGCACAGTACAGTAATACCCCAACTTACACGAACCCAGAGTTACGCGATTTTCAAATCTCTTTGATTTGTCTTTTGTTTGAGCACCATGCAACTCTTGGTTACTCATTCCCCCCACACTATTGTTCAGCTTACATGTTCGGACGTGTCGCATGGAATCGACACATAGCTACAATTTATTTTGTGTTATTTATTTCTGTGTTTGTTATATCTATGGAGATTTGAAAGACTCTATGTGATGATTTCTTGTAACCATGAACGAATCAAAAGACAAGATAAGATTAATGAGAACATTTATTAGCTTACATACATCCAACTTGGATTTTACATAAATTGCAAAATTATACCCTGACTTACATGAATTTGACTTACACAGTTATTGCTCGGTCCCACCTATCGCGTAAGTTCGGGGTATTACTGTATACCTAAGATGTGTGAATTGACATCTACAAAGCAGAAATGCATTGAAAGTTTTACACAACAAAGAATATGACTCAAATTGCTCAGAAACTGAATTGTTCCTATTTTAGTGTTAGTCACAACATTTCAAAGCAAAGATATTTGGGAACATATACTGGAGCTGGCAACATATATCATTGCAAAGGAATGACAAAAATTCTCTGCCATTTTAGCCAAAAAAAAAAAAAAAAGATTTCCTATGTCTCAAGAATCGACAGTGTAGTGGAAAACAACAACAAGAGTGATTGCAAGTCCATATCTTGTCCTTAAGAGGTTCTGTTAAGCAGAAATTTTTGCACGTAAAGCCAAGAATAAACCATTATTAACATAGAAAACGACAGACAAGATTAGAATGAACCAAAAAGCATTACTAATTGAACAATGAAACAATAACATGTCATTGTGAACCCGTAGTCTAGTAAAATTATGATTTAACTGAGCATTAATTTTAAAATAGAAAAACATTTTTTATTCTATTCTATAATTATTTCTCAATGAGATTGGGGCTTTTTGTGTTTTTACTGGACTACTGGTATTAGGAATAACGAGGTCTGGATTGTACCCCCACAATGCAATGCATGTCACTGCATGCGCACATTACTTGATATTTAGCAAATTTAGACATTATGTTTGTTACAAAAATTGAAAGATTCATTTATTGTTCTGCACATTATAAATTCGCAGCCATTACATTGTAAGTACACAATTATAATCTCTATTTAACAATGTGGGAACCAAATTTTGAAAAAATTGCTGAAGATTTATCGCAACAAGTATCCCATTAAATTTTGTTAGAAATTATTGTAGAATAATTTGAATTTCTTTATTGTTAATTATAATTATTTATTTTTAAAAAATGTAATTTATGCACATATTCTGTGATTTTATATAATATACTTAACAAATAATAATAAATAAATGTACCTGATTAAATTTATTATTATTTATGTAAAATAAGTAATTCACTTTTATAGTTAGAGTTTTTTTATGGCACTCAGTTATAAGGATTATAAGGGCTTATACATCTAACGCAGTAATTATGAAATTTACATACAAAAATATAAGGGGTACTTGAGAAACAACTAATGAGGTACATCAACAAAATAAGTTGAGAACCACTGATTTAAAGTATAATTAATAAAATGCCAGGGAGAATTCAAACTGTTATTAAAGCTAAATATGATGTCATAAAATATTAATGAATACATTTTATAGATTAAGGTATCCATATTCTGTTTTCATAAATATTTTGTCTAAATTATTTGTGTTTATTAACTTTTTAAAACAGGTTTATATATTTTCAAGTATCATATTATTGCTCATTTGTCATAAAAGAATAAATTGCAGTAAACCAAACCTTGCAACCCTTATTTTTCTTCTATATTTATCACAACTTATTGTTAATTGTAAACCTATGATTATCCTTATCATAGGTTACATCTATATTAATATTCTGCTTGCTTCATATAAACACAGCAAGCATGCAATACATTAAAAAACTAGTGTATTTATATACAATACTCTCTTGCTAAATTGGCCCTTAATAATCTATCCTTTCAATTATCTGGCATACTCTCAGTGTGATTGTGAATGTTCTTCCATTTCCACAAAGATGCTAGTCATATCACACATCCTGTTTTCTTGTTAACTTAGGTTACAGTACTGTATGTTATTGAATTGTATTATTTGTCCACCTGCCTTCAGAAAGAATAACTACCAAAGGACAACAGATCACATCATTTATTGCCTTTAGGAGAGATTTAGGCCTGTACATTCAGGAAGCTGATATTCTTGCTAATCTGATAGTCCTCTCTGAAATGAATTGCCAAATTAGCAAAAAATCTACTGTATTTCCTGAAGGTTAATAGAACCAGTAGTCTGCATTACTGATGGCAATGTTAGTTAATATAATCATTAATTATAAATTTTTTACATCGATAACAAAGTTCTATACTTATTTATTAATATACACACTGGTGTTCTAAAGTTTTGCATGTCTACTGCAAAATGCATATTGTTTTGCTAAATCAAGTGTTAATGAGTACAACTTTAACTATAAAATGTTAAACCGGTATTGTATCATCTTAATGAAAAGGACTGCTACATGTATATTGTAGAGTTTTATGTCATCTATTGCTGAATGCTATTTGACCTTGTAATTATTATGTCAACAACTAACTGCACAGTACAGTAATACCCCAACTTACACGAACCCAGAGTTACGCGATTTTCAAATCTCTTTGATTTGTCTTTTGTTTGAGCACCATGCAACTCTTGGTTACTCATTCCCCCCACACTATTGTTCAGCTTACATGTTCGGACGTGTCGCATGGAATCGACACATAGCTACAATTTATTTTGTGTTATTTATTTCTGTGTTTGTTATATCTATGGAGATTTGAAAGACTCTATGTGATGATTTCTTGTAACCATGAACGAATCAAAAGACAAGATAAGATTAATGAGAACATTTATTAGCTTACATACATCCAACTTGGATTTTACATAAATTGCAAAATTATACCCTGACTTACATGAATTTGACTTACACAGTTATTGCTCGGTCCCACCTATCGCGTAAGTTCGGGGTATTACTGTATACCTAAGATGTGTGAATTGACATCTACAAAGCAGAAATGCATTGAAAGTTTTACACAACAAAGAATATGACTCAAATTGCTCAGAAACTGAATTGTTCCTATTTTAGTGTTAGTCACAACATTTCAAAGCAAAGATATTTGGGAACATATACTGGAGCTGGCAACATATATCATTGCAAAGGAATGACAAAAATTCTCTGCCATTTTAGCCAAAAAAAAAAAAAAA